TATAATTTAACCTTCTAGTTTAGTTTTGTCAAACTTTGACCATTTTAAGAGAAATGGACTCAAACTTCAAGAGTTCCCCAGCCAGCATGGCTGGCTGGGGAATTCTGGGAGTTGAAGTCCATTCATCTTAAAGTGGCCAAGTTTGGACAACACTAATCTAGATGTTTAATTCATATCATGTCCAATTAACACAGGCTAGGTAGTTCTTGTCATGTATAATGTAGAACTATAAACAAAATTCTTTATACACTGGGTATCAAAAAGTGTGAACAGAATGGCATCTACTGTGATTGAGGATAGGATAAAAGGGAGCTATATGGTAATCTGCTTCCTGTTGGGTATTTTTTTAGGTTAAATGAATAACCCTTAGAAAATTATAAATGCTACACTTGTCACATTAATATTCTATCAATATTGAGGCCACATTTTGTGGTGAGGGAGCCTAAAGGCAAAACTTTGGCTGCAGAAAGGATTCTATCGATACAGAGAAAGTCACTAGGGGACTTTGGGTCGGTCACCATCTCTTAGCCCAACCTTCACTGCAGAGTCGTCGTTAAATGGAGTTTCCCCATGTAAGCTATGATGAACTTGTAGAAAAAGAAGTGAGATATAAATCTAATAATTTAAGAATAAAAATGAGAATAAACTAATCTGTGAATTAAAACTTATGTGTTGCAGCCTTATCCCTAATCATTTATAATTTATATTGTTTTCTTTATACTAGGTGATGCTGGAGCAAATATCATTCATGTCTCTAAAGAAGCCCGGAAGAGGTTTCTTGGCCCTTTGCACCCATCGTTCAACCTGGTGAAAATAATCCGTGCCTGCTTATACAAAACCTTACCAGGCAATGGACATGAATTGGCCAATGGACGTTTAGGTATTTCATTGACCCGGGTTTCGGATGGAGAAAATGTCATATTATCCGAGTTCAACTCCAAAGAAGAGCTTGTCCAGGCAAGTAGTAAGTTTTGGGCTTTCTAGTAGCTTTGAATGTGAAGCTATAAGTGCCTATCTCCCAGGAACCAGCAGAGTGGACATGACCTGTTCTGGTCATGGAAATTCTCCTTTCTTGCTTCATCTTCTGCCTAGATTTATCTTCTGTAAATAGTGCAGGCTTCTCTAGCTAGTTCACTTATTTCACATGGTGTTTTCCCATCTATCTCTCAGGCATGTGTTTGCAGTACTTTCATCCCAATATACTGTGGCCTGATCCCTCCAAGTCTTCAAGGAGTGGTAAGTCAGCAAGAGACTGTTTTAACTTTCAGGTGTTTGGTAGTGCATTACAGGAGTCTCTCCCGCTTCCTCAAGAGGGAAAGAGGAAACACGCAGACTGGGGAAAGTGACGTAATATACTTCATCATTCTCACAAAGTGATTGGAACAACATACAGTTGTAATCAATTATTCTCAAAGGACTGATTTTTATTTTTATTTATGAGATCTAATTAGAGATATGAAGTCTGGAGAGGGAAGTACAGAAAATTTAAGGGGGAAAATGACTTTTTTTTCCAAAAAAGGGAAGGAAAAAAGGAAGGAAAAAAAGCAATAGTATTATTTGTAGCATCAGCATTTATTTTTCTGGATCATAATATTTATAGACGTAATGTATCCTTAGCAAAACTTCATTTGGGTTTAATAGAATGGAACCAAAATGTACTGCTGCCAGTGTTTGTTTTTCTATATTGGTTAAGTATTGACAACAATTTTGGAGAAAACATCTGCTGCTACAAAGGAAATTTCACAACGTTGGATTGAAATTGAAGAGCTGCCTGGACTAGGATGTCCATGACCAAACCTGGGACTTTGATGTGACAGAGTGATCCCTCACAGACCATACAATATTCTTCAGCGTTGCTGTCAGACTTTGTTTTAAAACTTTGTAAATTTGGGGGGGGGGGGGCCAAAGCAGAGGAGAAAATATATTCTGCTAGGACTTGGAGAGAAACCATGTGATTCTTGGGCTGCTTCTCTGGCTGGGCCACAGACAGCAATGAGCCACTTCCATTTCCAGTCCTTCGGCTTGAAGAGAGATCTTGAGGGTATTAGGATCCTCATGCTTTTTCACTGTTAGCTGCAGAGTCAGTGTTCTCCTATCAACGATGTCTGTAAAGCACAGATACTAAGCAAGCCATAGCCATTCCAAGGATGATCGGTTTTATTATTCCCACATTAAAAATGGACAGCTGAAGCTTGAAAACATTAGACTGCTTAAGCCTACATAGCTACATTAAGAACCTTATGGGAGAAAAGCTGGATAAAAGTATTTTAAATAAAATCACTGAAGGCAGAAGTGAAACAGGGATTTCTCAGTTCGTAGCTCAACCTCTTATTTACTCTGTTGTAGTAATTCATACAAACAGACATATACAAACAAAGAGAAATCTTACATTTTATTTGGCTAACTTAGTATCCTGCCTTTCTTCCAGGAGCTCAAGAAAACTTACGTAGCACTCTCTTCCCTAAATTTTCCCATCAATAAAAGCCCAGTGAGGTAGGTTACCTAGAGAGATCATAACTGTTCTGAAGTCTCCAAGTTAGTTTCTATGGCAATAAGAAAGGGTGAATAGTGCAGATACCTTGGGTTAATACAGGAGGGAAGAGATGAAGGCAGACAGCAGATCTTTGCACCAGAATTCTAGGGGAGCCACTATTTTAAGGATGTTTGAAGTGCCTTGAAGATGCAGCTCACTGGGACTTGACTAGTCAATGGTATAGTCTAAGTGGGAACCAAAGTCAGATTCATAATTCAAGGTGCTCCGGCAACCTAAAAAGACAGTTCCCAATAACTGGCATGATGCCAGTGTGGGTGGGCTTGGGAAGGGCAGCTGGGCCCATCCACTGACATCATCCAACCTTCAGCAGGCTTGAGGAGCAATTTCACCATCTAGCCAAATTCTGTTCCCAACTTTGTCTAAAGCATGAAGTAAAGGAAAAATAATACAGGATTGCAATATTGGCTGCCTCTTCTATCTATTCAGCTGTTGTTCTTTGATTAAAGTAGAAATGTAGAGGATGTGAAAGGGTATAAAGGAAGAAAAGCAGAAGCTTGATTGACTTTTTGCATAATGGATGTCCCAGCCTAATTGTCTATCCAACATAGCTAACGTATAGCAACGTACAGTACTGAGTTTCCTGGAATTGGCTTTGCAGAAGGTTATATCAACATGTTGGTTGCTGAAGAACGTGGTGTGCTTCTCCTACCTCTTGCCAATTGGCTTCCACTCAACTTTGAACTTCCTTCTGTTTTTAATATTTTTATCACTTCATACACTTGAGATTCAGTTTGGCTCTAGAGAATCTTTTGTGAGAAGAGATGACAGATAAGTTTTGGAAAATGAACCTCTTAGTTCTTTTCAGTTTTAGAAGGATTTGAGGTTAGGGAGATAGTGTTTTGTCCTTATTTGGGATCAGAGAGGTGCTTATAGGCTGTTCTAGACTGTCGCAGGCATACCTTTTCCCCTCTGGTCTCAGTAGCACTAGACTGCTTAGCCAGCAACAAGTTGCTAACTCAAACTGCATAACAGTGGAGTGATGGAAGCCACCACCCGCCCTGTGCAATTCTCTGCTTAGAACGTTGCCAGGGAAAAAAAGGAAAAGAAGGGGAGACAGATTCTAAATAAAAGTGCTGCTTAGTCATATCTTTTTGTGACTCCATTAAAAAAAATTAATTCAACTTGAATTATCACAGAATGAAGGGCAGGAGGAAAAGCGCAAAAGGAGTCTAGAGATGACAGCAAAACATTATTTCCAAACACATCCCTTTTCTGCTGCAGCAGTACCATGATTGGCAGATGATCTTCCCATAAGCTGGTGATGTATTGAAGAGGGTGGGCAGTGAAGTCGGGAGACTCAGTCAATTGCTTTGCCTATCCCATGCAGTCTATTCAGAATCTGAACAGTGCCATTTATTTAGCAGTGGGTCAGAACAGAGACAATAGAGGCAGGGCAGGGAGCGGTCTGTATATGTTTCTGCTGCCTCAAGAATGGATGGATGGTACTTTAACTCAGCAGTGGGGAAAAGTTCTTACTGAATATTTGCCGGACAGGTTCTTTTCTTTCCGTAGCCCGTTAAGTACGGCAAGTTATATTTTGCCTTCTGTGAAAACACTCCCTTGATCTCTGGCTGTCAAACCTCTTGATGTCATTGGTTAATCTATTCCAGTGGTCAGTAAGGACATTTGGAATTAAAGGGGTCCTGGTCATTTTGGCAGGCTTAGCTGCACCGATGGCTCATTGGTGGCTCTTCATGTTTAAGCCGGGCTGTTGATTTTCTGAAGTGAGTTTTAGAATTCAGAATGGGACATCTATTGTTCAATAAATGTTATCGTTCCTGGGCTGCAGGAATGTACTGTATATAATGGAGAAGCTGATCTGCTTTTGAAGTTATAACATCAGTAAATCATCTCAAAATAATGAACAAAATTATTTTTCTTGCATTTAGATAATGAAATTATGATTACTACATAGAATGTTTTTTTCCATGTGAATTATTTCTCTCCAAGCTTGGCATTGTTTTGTTTTTCATGTGGTCATATTCTGGGCATCAGTTTTTCTTTTTCTACGAGAGATGAAGCCAGCAATTAGCTAACTGTGTTGCATGTGATTGTACTCTGTAATGCATCAGTGCAACTCCTGATGGCATTTAACTCTTTTGTTAAATGCCATTGGAAGTGGCAACTGCCCAATAACCACCCACCCAAACTAGAGAGAACTAAGTTTGTGTGGAGCTACAAGAACTCTGCTACCTCCGAGCCCAGTGTGATTCATTCAGTTGCCGTGATAAACCAAATGTGGCTCAATATACAAAGGAACTGGTTTTGAGCCTTACACACGCGCTGCTTATCTGCCTGCTCCTTCTCTTTTGAACCAGGAAGAGGAGCTTGGAAGGTTATGCTTCTGTTTAAACAAGTCAGAGCTGAGAGTTTAATCTTAACCACATTTTGTTTTTACAAACCTGAATTGTTTTGGTTAACCCCAATCAAGAATAACTACAATGTGAGGTTCACGCACAGCATCAAACCATGGTTGATTGGATACTTTTTTTCCCAATTTCAGTCTGTGCTGTCACAATGGAGGAAAAGACTGGGGCTACAGGAAGGGTATACAGAAATCTGAAGCTCACACACAGTATAAAAGTATCGTGTCTCTGTGTTTGTGGGAAAGAAAGCACAAGACTACTGTACTTCTTTGTTTAACTTCATTTTTGTGGCCTGGAAGCTTCCAGAGGAGGTCACCATGAACTGTTTGTTCCCTCCTGGAAAATAAGTAAAAGGCCACAGATAAAAAAGATGGATTTATTTATGTATTGCTGTTGTTACATAAAGTTGCTAATAATAAGAGTAGTATGGGGACTAGCTTTATTTCAGAAAAATGCCTCCATCACCTCTTCCTCAGCTTATTTTTAATTCCAGAATAGAACTCAGAAGCTGCCCAGTCCTACACCTTACTAGATGAAGCGGGGTTAGCAAAGATCTCATTCATTAAAATTACAGAAATATGTAGTGATTTATTAGGGAGTAAAAAAAACTTCAACTTCCCTTGATTTCTTGATGCCATAGGTGTACATTTCTTGCCACAATGACACCAAATGATGAATTATGTATTGTGATGTGATGATGCAAGCTAGGCCCTTCTGTACTTGCATTGCAATGTACCCTGCAAGGACATAAGAGCAGAAGTTTGTGTCATGACATTGCAATCAATGTTTTGTCATTTGCTCACTCTTACTTCCCCCCCAGAGATGGTTTTGCTTGATGGTCTAGCAAGCTGCACTATATAACCAAGTAACTATACATGCCATTGCATTTGCAGCTATCTACGTGCATTTAGAGATCTGAGAGGGGAAGAACAGATTGGAAACTAAAAGAAAGACAAAAAAAAGCTAACATCAAATTTTCTCTTTTCCCAGAGATATGTTGATGGAGGAATTACTGACAACCTGCCTCAATATGAGCTGAAGAACACCATCACCGTATCCCCTTTCTCTGGGGAGAGTGATATTTGTCCACGGGACAGTTCCACAAACATTCATGAACTGAGAGTCACCAATACCAGCATTCAATTTAATCTGCGCAATTTGTACCGCCTTTCAAAAGCCCTGTTTCCTCCAGAGGCTCAGGTGAGACCTCATCATGACCCCAGAAGACAGATAGTGTCATTTTTATTTCAATAATTTGAGAGCCAGTATGGTATAGTGCAGTGTTTCTCAACCTTAGCAACCTTAAGATGAATGGACTTCAACTCCCAGAATTCCCCAGCCAGTCATATATCATCTTTAAGTATCATCTTAAAGTTGCCACGGTTGAGAAACATTGGTATAGTGGTTAATGTGCTAAACTAGGAGTGGGAAACGTAGGTTCTAAACTTCACTTAGTCATGGAAGACAGCTGGGTGACTTTAGGCCAGTCACTCTCTCTCAGTCCTAGATTAGAAAGTAAAAAAACCCTACTATTTACCAACCTGCACTGGGCCAGCAAGGTAAATTATGGTGAGTAATCTTCAATGAAGAGCCCTTCATCCTGTGGTGGATCGATTCATTATTATTGCTGCTGCTGCTGCTGCTGCTGCTGCTGCTGTTGATTCACCACCTTTCATAGCTAGTAAAATTTCTGATATAGGAAGTAGCTATAATCTACTGTCATTCCCTCTCATGGCCTCCTAGCCCAGTTAGCTTGCATTTTTGTAACAGCATAATCCTCTACTATTTATTTGGAGGTAAGTCCCACTGTCTTTAGTGGAGCAAAGCTCACCTGTGCTTGGCAATGCACACACAGAATTAATATGTTGGGAAAGCAGACTCAACACAGGACTTTGTTACAAGAAGAAAATACAGATTCCTCCTATATTTATTGCTAGCAGAGGGGTTGGAAAGAATTCCAGAAGCCGTGCTCAGCTTCTTCTTTTTTAGAAAGTGCTGAAGATTAACATAACTTGTTCAGACATTGTTAAGCTGGCTCATGCTAAAAAGTCATGGGACAATAAGTTTTCAGTAGTTTGGAAACATCACAGCTAGAGGGCAGCTGTTTCATTCCAATGGCAGAAAAATGGGGAAAAGATTTCTGCAGAATTGGCAGGAACTTTATGGAGTTTCTTTTTTCCCCATGGAGAAAGGAAACTTTCACCAATTCCCCCTTTTCACTCTGAAACCCATTTCAGGACCAGACCTGAGGAGCTTTTTGACAGAACCCTGAAATCCATTATCAGAGAAACAGCCATATACAAAGAAATAACACCAACAAATAGGATGTCAGCCCTCCTTTCTCCAAAGTCCCAGTGCATCAGGAGGCTTTTCAGATTCTGTTAATCATGGCATTTGCTTTATCCCAGCTTGCAGGAGAATATGGATTAGCACCATTTTACAGAATGAAATAGGGCCCTGTCTTTAATTAGCAACATAGAGAATAACTGGAGATGTGTTAATTTTACTGTGTTTCTGTCTGATCACGCCCAGTCTACAGTGATATGTATCAACATTGCACTGACCAAGTCTGCTTGTCCTGCCTAAGACTGATGCAGAGGTCTCCGTTGAAGGTCTCTCTTGCTGCCACTTCTGAGCTGGAAGTCCGTTTTGAGACATGGATTCTTCCCCCTGCTGAAGTCCGTTGGCATAGGCATGCTGGTAGTGCAATGTTTAAATGTCTTAGAGCTAACCGTAAGTAACATGCTTCATCTTATCTCTCTGCAGGTTCTACAGGAGATGTGCAAGCAAGGGTACAAGGACGCTCTTCACTTTTTGAAGAAGAATGGTAGGCTCTTACTAGTTTTGCGTTCTCTAGCAAAAATGAATCTTGTGTGGGATGTTCTTTCCTCTCCATCTATTTCTGTTGGAGCATTAAAAAGGGGAGCCAATCTTGCATTCCAGTCATGGCTGTATATCGCCCTGTCTAGTCACTTGTTGCTTTGTGGAAAATGTGTAAAACGTGTAGTCCATTTTAATGAAAGCAGCATCTGAATTAAGTATGTAAGTGTTCAAATTTCAAAAATAAAAACTTTCCTACTAAGTAGAATGGAAGGAGGAGATCAGTTAAATTATTACAAGGTGAATTACCGATATCAATATTTTTGTTTAATTTAAGTTTAGCTCCTTTTCTATTCTGTATTATTAAAGAATTTAACTCAGTGTTTTATATTCTCTTGCCCAAATGGAGATTTGTTTAAATGAAAACTTTCTTTTTGAATGGTAGGTATTTGCATAATTTTATATTTATGCATAGAGTTACAATAGAGAATGTTACTGATCAAAGTACAATGAAATTTGGACAAACTGCCTTGAAATGAATGGAAGCTTTGGAAAAGTATGGTGATGTGTACCTTTTGCTGTATGGTTTATTCAAAAATATTTTTAAGCCATTCTTAAAGATACAGAGCAGTATACAAAAAACATGACCAAAATTAATGATAACTGATAAAAACAATAATATATATACAATTCAAATAATAGGCCAGCTAAAGGCTGTAATGTAATCCTCTAGATTTTGCTGACTTATAAGTCCCAGAAACTGCAGCCAACATGCTAATACAGTGGTACGAACACTTCTGTTCACGACCAATTCGGGTCACGAACAGCACCGTTCACAAAATTTTGCTTCCGTTCGCGAACGCCGGATCAGGTGAAGAACAGGATCCGCAGCCATTTTCCCTCCCGTGACACGTGGTCGTGGCTTCCTGTAGGGAGGGTGACCAAATTCGGAGGGGTCAGAACGGATTAACCACACTTACATTGAACCTTATGGGAAAATTTGATTCGGGTCGCGACCAATACAGGATCCGCAGCCATTTTCCCTCCCGTGACACGTGGTCGTGGCTTCCTGTAGGGAGGGTGACCAAATTCGGAGGGGTCAGAACGGATTAACCACAC